TGTACTGTATAATGAGATCTAATTTCATATCTATTTTTTCATAACTGAAAATTAAAAAAATAAAAGCGAGTTTGAAAATTTTGACTAACCATAAAGAAGTGACTCGCCTTAATATTAAGCCATATGCATCATTATTTGAATCATAAATGATTTTATACTGATTTTTTGGCATAAATTTAATTTTATCATTCAGTATTAAAAAAAATAAATAATAGATTTAAAAGCAATTTATTCCAAATCGGAAATTCCTGCCACAAAATTGGAACAGCAGAATTTGATTATATTAATATAGTGTATCTGTTTTTTTTTTGTTTTTAGAGCACCTGGTTTAACTTACTAATCAGAGCAAGTTGTGATGATATCTTACTGGTCTTTTTGTTATTATGAATTTTACTTTCATACAACTTATGAATGTAGTCTAGGTTGTGGGAGAATCAATTTTTTTGGTTTCTTCATTAACTTCTGAATCAATTAATGGCTTTTCAGAATTAGAGGAATGTCATTAGCTTTGTAGAAATTGTTCTAGACTTTTGAGCGTTAGCATTAATAATTGACACCAGTATCAAACAGAATTCTTCACTTGGTAATAAGACATGGTATTTTATCACCTGATTCTGAAGAAAAATATGCTTTCAAAAATTTATTTTTCAAATAAAATAACCTCTAAACCAAATCTAAGCTCACTATTTTTTTATAATAAATTAAGTTTTTTTATATAATTAATGGACTGAATAAAATGAATAATCAATAAATAAAACAGATAAAACAAATAAATAAGTCTGACATGCATTACGAAATAGAATCCCCTACAAAGTCATCAGATCCTTGATATTTTATTTAATTAATACACAATCATGAATAGTAACCAGATTCTTGATATTTTAATTAATTAATATTAAAACAGTACATAATCACTCTCGTTATAATAATAAACATGTAGCAAATGATGAACAATACTAATACGTTTTTTTGAGGATTTCATGCCACGGAGTTATTCGGTCAGGTTTAATTATGTCTTTGACATGCCACGAATAGGACAAAAAAGCAAAATTAATTCGACTATATAGTATTGGAAGAAATGAAAGCTTTTGACACTCTTGAAAAATCATAAATATTTTTTCATTTCATTTTATAAAAGTTCTTTGACTAATTATAAAAATAAAAGAAAAAATCATTCATATTTTCTGTTTTCTACCATAAATTTTAATTACTAGTTCTTTGCCTGGTATTAATAATCATTCAGGTGCTATCTTTAAGATAAATTAATAATTTATTTATTTATTTGCTATTTTTTGATGTCATATTAATATAAACTTAGGTCCTCCTCGCATGATTATACTTTAATTGGTAAAATTATACTTTAGATAGTAAGATCGATATCAAGATTATTTAATGAGCTATCACCACTTTTTAGATTTAATTCAACCATTTCAAAATCTAATATTCTACTTGTATGATATGCTAATGGATGTGGTTTTTGTGGTTTATAAACTTGTAGTAAGTCACTATTATTATTACTATTACTGTTATTATTACTATTACTACTGATATTATTATTAACACCACCACCAATATCACTATTATTTTTATCAGTTTTATAAAATTTCCCTAATTTATTTTCAGCAAAGATCAAAAGCTCTTTAATAGTTGGTCTTTTTGATGGATCCACATCCCAACACATTTTCATCATTTGTGCATAATCAGTAGGCATTCCTGGTAATATTGGTGGTCTTAATCCTTCACATATATCTAACATCAAGCTATGATTATGAGCTCTATGATTAAATGGTGGATGGCCTGCAAATAATTCCCACATTAACATCCCAACACTATAAATATCTGATTCTTTTGTATTCTTATTTCCTCTCAATAGCTCTGGTGCAATATATGATACAATTCCATAGATTTTATTTGATAATTTTTCATCAACTGGTCCACATAATCCTAAATCTGTGATATAACCAAAACCCCCTTTCATTACTATATTACCACTATGTAGATCACAATGAATTAAATCTTTTTGATGTATATCATTTAATGCATAGCATAAATGACTAAAAATTGTAATCCTATCTTTTGATGTTAATTTTGAATGATTGTTTTGTATATAATCTCTTAAATTTCCATCTTGAAGATAATTAAGAACCATTGCATAATTTCCATTTCCTGGGAATTTAGTTATACCATAACAATCAACAACAAAATGTGATTTAATTATACAAAAGTTTAATGCCTGTAATTAATTATATAAAATAAAGTCAATTAATTAAAATGAATGGTTTAATTTAATTTAGTTTATATAAGCCTAATTACCTCATCAAAAAAAGATTTTCCTGGGTTACTTGAATTATTTAATGATTTTAATACTACATTTTCAACTCCAAAATAACTAAACTCTTTTTTATTTTCATCAAAATCAGAAATTCTTCCTCTTTTCCACTTGGCAGTATAAATTGTACTGAATCCACCTTCTGTTAACTTTTCTACACCTTCAAATTGCTCATATGGTATCCATTCTAAAATAAGTGTTGGAAGAGATAAAAGCATTTGGCATTTATGGATAAAGTTGTCAATTGTATTATTTCCAGATGTCCAAGTATCAAATAGACTCTGCAGATGTAAGCTAATACACATTTCGCAAAATCTATCAGAGTATCTTGTTCCTTTGCAATTTTTACATTTTCTTGGTTTTCCCCATTTATGTATTACATTAACTAATTCACAAAGATAAATATACTTTTCTTTACAATATTTTTTTTCATTTTTTAAAAGCTCTTTGTGTTTTTTAACTAATTTCAAAAAATGAACTTTTCTTTTTTTATGATCAGGAGTAGCCGAAAGAGTATTATTAATCATTTCACTAAAAAATTCTAATACACGTTCTTCTCTGCCTGAAGTTAATAATTTATAAAATGACATTTTGGCTTTTAATATTAATATACCAAATTATATTTATGAAATTGATATTTTTTTTGAAAAGAAATCATTTATAGTCATAGTCGACTCCGAAAATACAAATGGGAAAACCGTAAATAGTAATAGTAATAGTAATAGTAATAGTAATAAAGTAGTATAAATTCCGTAAATAATAATTTCGGCTACTACTACTCTAATTCCGTAAACATGATTACCTACCCGTAATCCATTTAATATATATTAATATGAGATTACAGATGTAAACCAAGTTTGTGGTTATCTTCAAATTTTTTCGTGAAGTTTGAAAATTCACCACCCGCCTATTTTCTTGCCAAGCTAATAATGACCCAACTATTGTATAGAGACTGGATAAACTTTGGTTTCCTGAACGTCAAGCCATAATTTTTACCTTTATTATTATAAGCCATTAATTGAAACCACATCTATTTAATTGCCTCATTTTGTTTTAACAATCAGACATTGATACACAAATAAATACTTGTAACAAATAATTACGAAGCCAATAGTAATCACGGAGCCAAACATCACAGTAATAGTACCGCAACTATTTACAGAATCATGGTTTTAAACTTTTTTCTGTAATAGTAATTGATATTGCCATTACTAGTACTATTACAATGGCGGAAATTTGGAACCGTAACTCCGTAATGATTACGGAATTACGGAACAATTATGTTTAGTTTAATATTAAGAAAATAATTATTAACTATTTTAATTATGGCCCCATAACAAAAATCACAAATAAATAAACTGTTTTTTTATTTTATTTTATTTTTCGTTTAAAGAAAAGAGCTTTGGCAAAAAGGCAATAATTGTAAAAAGCCATGGTTTATTTTTTTAGTAAGCAAAAGTCAGGACTAACGTTAGGTAACTATATAGTAAGTGTCAACAACGATTAGCAACGTAATTTGCAAGTAACGACGCAATTGTTAACAACGAGATGAAAAATTGGTAGTTTTATAATATTATTTTGCTATACTTTATTGTATTTATAATCGTTAACGAGCAAAATTAATTGATTAACTGGAGAATTTAGTGTAAAGGTTGAACATTAAAATGATCATCAGAGCATGAAAACAAACACACCACGGAAAAACGTGTACATTCCAAGAATGGTGTTTGCGTTCACAGGTTGTACTGAAAAATCTAAACAATGAAAAATTTTGCATTAGTGGTATAGCAGGATCATTTTTGATGTACGTGCACGTTTGTTATGCAAATAAGTCCCAATATTAATATGGGACCAAGGTACCAGACTAAAAAATGAAATTATGGTCACGGGATTTAGATTTTGGAGGGAAAAAGGTTAGTTTCAAGCGGAAGTCAAGTTAGTTTCAAGTTGATACAAAAATTTACACTTGGATAGTAAAAGTATTAGAGATGGTAATGTTGTCAACGTAGTAATATAAAACAAAATCACATTATATCCATTGTACAATCTTAACAAATATTTAATTAAAAAAAAACTTAACTATAATAAATAAAATATATTCTAATCTAAAAGTTTAATACGATCTTGTTACCTCAAGTTTACATACTACAAAACTTGGTCGAATTCCATCGAATATAAAAAGCAACTCATATTTTAGAAAAGGTTGTAAGTGTGGTTGCTCCTCAAAAAATTCCCAAAAAAAAGTTTTACAATCTTTTCAAGCACTTTCTAAATCAGAACAAATATTTTCTTAATGTAGAGTGAATCAATAGGCACTAGCAGACGCCTCAAAAGGAATTCATGCTAATAAGAAAACCTTTTATACTGAAATCATGACGCATATCTTGAAATGTTGGGAATTGGTAGGGTTCATTTTGAAAATATTAGAAATCATCTATATAATAAACAATTATCTTACGAAACCGTTAATTTGTGACACTATATGTTCACTTTGTCGTAGTACGCTCCACATTAAGGTCATGTCACCCCTGTGACAAAAGAATAATGAATATATATATTGTAATTAATATTTTAAGCCTTTTTATTATATTTTTTAAAAAAAAAAAAAAATTCAAATCAAAGTCTTTTTTCCTAAAAATTCATCGCCCAAAAAATTAAAAATAATATAAATTCATTCCAAAGCTTCTTGATAATTCCTTTTTGATTCTTTTTTCTCTAGTTTTTTTTTATGTTTATCAATTGAAATTATTTTAATTTTTAACAAATCTCTTTGTCTTATAGATCTTAATACTCCATTTCTTGATTCAATTAGACATCTTAAAACTTCATTACTATTACTGATTTGCTCCTATTTAACAAAAGCTAAATAAATAAATTTTTCTAAAAAAATTACATATAAATAAAATGAGCAAATTACTTGTAATTGTTCACGAACAGCAATTAAAGTTTCTAATCCTTGATCTTTAGCTTCATGAATTCGTATATCCTTATTCCTATCGTTTCCTTGTAGTCCAACATTAAGCACGCCCAATCCCATACCACCTTCCTCTTCACCGGCTTTGACAACACGAGTACTGACAATTTCAGGTGAAGGATTAAGTCTAAAGTCCAGATTTGGGTACATGGCATCATCACCTTGCAACACAGTCATCAATCTACTAATTATATTGTTGAAATTTTTCTCAGTTTCAATTCTTTCCATTAAGAAATCAGCACAGTGTGTTAATGAATTGTCATTTAAAATCCTTTTATAATGTGGTTTCTTAATAACATCTTCTAATTTCACTAATGGCCCAAGAATTTCTAATAATATAACAAAATAAATTAATAATTGGTTAATAATTAATTGATTGGCTTTTTTTCCTTCTAAAAAAATAAAACCCCAAACCTCCAACATTAATATCTTTATAAGGGTTGAATTCTGTGTCATCATAATACTCGACTGCTTTCAAAATAGAATTTCTGGGAAACCTGTGGATTATAGGACACCTTTGATTATTTGGCGTGTCGATATATTCAATGTCTTGATAAATATCATATGGTGCTTTTAATCTTGATTTGTCATCTATTAAATCTGCTCTATTTTTCAACTTATGACCTCTATTATAAGGTATTAGACCTATTTCTCCTTGTCTCTCTATAATTTCTTCATCTGTATAGTCTAGTTAATACCAAGCCAGGAAAGGAAAATTTTAGTACCATAATAATTTTGCTTTAGTATTACCCTTTTTTAGATGAGTCACAGATATAATACCTTTGCCACCGTGTTTTAGTTGTTCTTGTTGTTGATTACTGTTTTTAAAAATATCATTGTTATTAAATAATAGATTATAAATTATTTTTGATTAAAAAAAAAATCTGTCTTAATAATTAACTGTTCAGAATAAATGCTTGGAGTTTCATCAATATCCAATGAATCATGGTGTAAGGAATGATCATGTAGCAAAGAAGTTGAGGTAACTTGAAGTTTATTCTTGTTATCATTATCATTATTGTCTTTAAGAGAACTAAAATCACCATTCAATCTTGAAGATAAAAAGAGTGTACGTGCTGCATCTTCAACTGCGGTGTCCAAAATATTTTTTTGATAATGATGCTGATGCTGATGCTGATTATGTTGTTGTTGTTGTTGTTGTTGTTGTTGTTGTTGTTGTTGTTGTTGTTGTTGTTGTTGTTGTTGTTGTTGTTGTTGTTGTTGTTGCTGTTGTTGTTGTTGCTGTCGCAGTATTTCCCGAAATTGGCCAAATTGATCAGAATATCTATTTATAATTTCATAGAGTTTTTCTCTTTCTTTGTCGTCCCCCTCCCTTAAAATTCTTTCTACCCCTTGGATTATAAGGCTTATATAATCCGCTTCGATTCTTGGACGTTCTTTAAGTCGTACCAAGCCGTGACTGACTTGATACGCAACGTACGTGAACTCATTTATGAGCTGATTTGAACAACTCCCCCATGCAGCTTTGACCAGACGAGAAACGCTTTTCTGGTCTATTTTGGGAAAATTTTCCCTTAAAAATGGGCCTATATCGAGCCTCATAATGAAAAAGGCATTGATTTTGTTTCTGGCTGGATGGTTATTAATGACTCTGTCGTTTTCATTAACGAAGCGACTAATATTTGCCATTTTTAACAACGTACAACAATTTGAGTATTATTATATTAATTTATCGATTTTTTCGAAGACGATGAGAGGATGGGTGGTAGTCAACAAAAACTCGCCTGCTTATTTATACAATATTTTTTTTTCGATTTTAACTGGAAAAATAACCTTGTTTTTTCCAAAAGAAACATTAGTAATGTTATTACGCGTATTAAGTGAATTATTAATACATTGTCTTTTAATTGTTTCGCGGAAAATGAAACTCCAATACGAAAAGAAAGAATCGAAGTTTTTTGGTTTGGGAAAAGTCATGATTGATTTCTTTTGATTTCCAAAGTAAGCAGTCTTCATGGTTGCCTTCCAAGTTAAGTTTTCACGCGTATAAAAAAAAATTTCAAATGTTTTTTGTGTTTCATGTGATTATTATTATGGTTAGTGTCATTCATTGAGAAACACAAGTGTTCCTAATAATAATTTATTTGTTATAATTATAAATATAACAGAGAAAAAAAAGCACCGAGCAGTTGTTAGAGAAATATGGACTAAGAGCAGGAATTTAGACTTGGCGAAGTTTATTGATAGAATATTCTAGTGATAAAAAAAGGAATTTGTTTAATAGACTTCCTAATTTGATTGGAAGATTTTATCTACATTTATATGATTTATATGTCAATCTTATAAAGATTTGAAAATTTTGATAAATGAGAAAAAAATAAAAATCCAAAAATATCTTAGTTTCTATTGAAATTAGTTTTTAAAGTAATTGAAATAGAGTTATTTATGGATTGAAAAGGCTTTAATTTCGACATAAAGATTAAATCGGATATCAATTCCTTTACAAAATTCAAACAACAGGTAAAAATTAATTTATTAACGTGCCATTTCCCAATACCAAAAATAATTGGCAATACTTCTTCTTTCATTCCAAATATAGTCGGATTAGCCAACTAATAAGATAATAATAATCAACTGGTAGTATTTTTATTATTAAATTTTTTATTTTTAGTTTTTATCCAGAAACTGGTTATGGTTTTGGTGTTAATTTCGGACTTGCATTTATCAAATTTGACTAAATCAGAACAAACTTAACTAAAACAACATTCTTTGTCCGCAAAAAATCAACATTGCGTTCCTGTGATCAATAAGAGCGTTTTGGCTGAGCTACGCGCGGAGATCTTAAATAAAAATGATAAAATTACACAGTCGTATTTTAAGAAAAATATGCGCGTGCATACTCTTCTGCTAAGAAGGAATTGTAAAAATTATTAATTAGGAAGAAAAACTTTATTCTTTTCCTTTTACGTATGGTATCTTCATTCAATTTCATCCGGTTGTATTTATACACATTTACTTCTGGAGAATGATTGGTGTTTCTAGCCTTTTTGGTGGAATTGAGTTTTTGATTGTTTGGCTAGTGTTAGTTTAATATAATAATAATCGTTACTATTGTTTATAATTATTTTTTTGAGGTTTCACACAAAATACTTGCAGTGGGTTATTATTTAAAGGGTAACTTTTTTTCGTAATTTTTTTATCTAATAAATAATTTTTTACGGAAAAATTGATTTTTAACGAAGTTGTTTTTTTTTGTCACCTGATGTGCACTCATCATCGTGTTACAAAAATCACAAAAAATTACCAAATTTTTTGATGATCTCCTCTCTTTTTTAACATTTTGGACAATGGAACGAAATGAAATTTCCGCAATTGCTAACGGACCACCGATTAAAAAACGCAAATTATGCAAAACAAAGTTTATAATTGGCAATAATAAAGATAATGGCAACAGTAATGATATTATGAATGAATTAAAAGATATTGTGTTCCAATATGAAAATGGTAATAGTTATTGAAAATTTTTTTATTATTTCCATATAAATCTATTAATAATAATAATTTATGCGTGAATATTATTAGGTTTGCGTAAAGTAAAACCATATTATTATAATTATAAAACTTTTGCTAAAGGTCGTTGGTTAGGACGCAACATACTTGATATTTTTATTACAGAATTTCGAGACAGGTTCAAAGAATATTATGTATGTATGGAAAGAATGAATAAATAATAACGAGTGAATGAATGAATTGTGTGTTATTATTATTATTCTTATGTTATCTTCTTCTCAATCATCTTCTTTTCCGTAAAAAAATAAAATTTAATAGACAAATGCCATTGAAAAAGGATTAATTACAATCAATGAGAAAATTGTCAAAACTGAAACAAAAGTAAAAAATCAAGACATAATTGGGCATAAAATTCATCGTCATGAACCTCCAATCACATCAACTCCAATAAATATTCTGCATAAAGAAAATGACTTGATTGTTATCAATAAACCCGCGAGTATTCCGGTCCATCCATCCGGAAGATATAGACATAACACTGTTTTACATATTTTAAAAAAAGAACATGGTTTTTCTAATGATCTTCATAGTAAGTTCTTTTGTGTTTAAAGAATCTACTAGTTATATATGATTAATCTATTTGTTTATTTTTTTAATAGCAATTAATCGACTTGATCGATTAACATCAGGTATAATGTTGTTGGCTTTAAGTAAAGAGAGAGCTAAAGAATTAGAACAACAGATGCAACGAAGAAAAATCAAAAAAGAGTATATTTGTCGAGTGTTTGGCAAATTTCCAGAGTAAAAATCTTTTTTAAATTATGTTGATGATGATAATGATAATAATCATGATGATATTGATAATAGTTATTAACTCAAAAAAATTTTTTTTAATAATTTTATATACTTTTTAGTGGGGAAATAATATGTGAACAACCAATTAAATGTGTATCTCATAAGCTTGGATTAAATATAGTTGATAAAAATGGAAAACCATCCACCACTATATTTGAAAAAATCAGCTATAACAAAAATACTAGCGTAGTTAAATGTATCCTTTTAACTTTCCAAAAATAAAAATATGATTTTTGTTATTATTATCATTATTATTATTTAACAAAAAATTTACTAACAATTAGGTAAACCTTTGACAGGCAGAACTCATCAAATTCGTGTACATCTTCAATACCTTGGATATCCAATTGCTAATGATCCCTTATATTGTAATAAAAAGGTTTGGGGCAGTAATTTAGGTAAAGGTGGGATAAATGAGGAAGCTGGTGATGGTCGCAACGAAGATGATAACGATCAACCATCAATTAAGAATATTATAGAGAAACTTTCAAATGAGGTGGGAGACGACGATGAAATTGATTTAAATCTTAAAAAAACAGACAATGAACAATCTAAGGAGAAAATAGATTTGATGATTGGAGATAAAAATGAAGAATCTGATGAATATTACTGTGAAGAATGTAATATAAATAAATTTCCAGATCCTAAGCCTAATCAATTATTAATTTGGTTACATGCTTTGAAGTATGAAGGCGAAGGATGGGAATTTAAAACTGATTTACCTGATTGGGCCGAAGATAATTATATTGTTATTGATGAAAATTAAATTTTATTTTTCTGATAATAGAGAAATAAAAAAATAATACATATTAAAATCCTTTCTTTGTCAACCAATCATTTAATTCATGACGATAATCGCCTTTTATTATTATATGACCAGTGTTATCATTGATTGTAACCAAAGTATTAGGGAAAAGTTTTTGAAGTTCTTTATGTAAAGCCTAGTAGTAATAATAACATTATTGTCATTATTTATTGATTTATTGATTTATTGATTTATTGATTATTTACCTCAGTATCACCTTCAATCCTCCTTAAAACAGTTAAAATACGTGTTCTGCCATTCCTTATATCAGAATAAATCGGTAATACTTTATTTTGTGTACGCTCGATAAAATATGGATATTGAACATCTTCATAAAATATTTTCACTTCTTTATTATTTTTCAGGGAAGGATAATATTTATTTGGCATTTGCTCTTTTTTTTGAATCTCTTTTTATTTATATAATGTAAAATACATATATTTATATATATACACACACATACACACACTGTTAATAAATATAATATAATCATAATAATAATAATACTATTTTATTACCACGGTTATTTTCATTTTCACTTTCCTTTTTGTTATTTTTGCTATCTGTTTTAATGGTTTTAATGGGTATTAAATTATAAAATTTATTGGGAATTTTATAAATGCTGCGAAGCATTTTTTTTTTTTTTTTTGATATTAATAAAAAAATTAGATGCGACCAAAATATTTTTATTTTCGGTGGTACAAATTAGGATAACTATAATAGCCAATCAGACTTTGAGGTTAAAATTATGATAATCACGTGGCAAGATGTTCGAAATAGTTTGAGTTTTCGTGTTTCGAAAACAGTTTTTTTTTTTTAATAAAGGCAATATCCTGCTCATATAATTTTATTAGAATAAAGTAAATATAATAAAAATAATTCACAAAATAAATTCCAAATTAACTTTATATGAGGCTATTCCTCTTGAAAATAATTAAAAAGAAAATATATACATATTTAAATTTAACATTTCAGAAAAAACAGATATGCCAAACAAAGTCTATGAAGTTTATTCAGTCTCAATTTAACAATTTTAACTGCATCATAGATATTGTTGACTGATCCGGATATTACCTAGGTAATAGGAAGTCAGATCCAGTGTTAATGAAGTTATTTATTAAAACTAGATGAGAATTATTAGAATTAGGATTTGAAAGAGGTCTTGAGGGTGTTTGTGCTATCTGATTAATTGGGTATAATTGATTAGCTGTTTTATTTTTCAAGTTGATATTATTTTGTTTTAACCATGAGTTAAACAAAGCACATTGTGGAAGCTAGACATTTTTATAATAGAAAGTTATTAGGCTGTAGGAGATGATGTGAAGGATGATTGAAGTTTTTTTGTGAGAAGTAAATATTGGATATATGGAGTTAATTAGAGATGGTGGAATTAATCCAGCTGCAAGTATTACAAGTGAAGTATAGTTGAAGTTAGATTGGAATAGAGGTTGTAATAGTTGTTTAGTTTGTGTGATTTTGGAAGATCTATACCAATTTGAGATTTCAGAGATTATTGATTGTTGAATTATTAGCCATGGAATTGTGTCCAAATTAAAATTAACTTGGCAAGAAAATAGGTGTGTAGTATTTTCAGGTGATTGATTACAATAGAGACAATTAAGATTGGGTGGGAGTAGTGTTGGATAGTTGCGTATTAAGTTTTTTATTGTAGGTAACTGTTTTGATCACTTGGTCAGTTTTTCCGATTTTATTTTCGTGTAACTTCATGAATCATCTCCAATTTATATATCAGTTTCCCGTGATTTACAATTTACTATTTTACAGTGTGAGAAATTTTATCACTAGAAGATATGTCTTCCATATTCTTCTAAATGTTCTATTTGAGAGAATTTTCTTCAATTGTATCAATAAAATATTTAAATACAGTTGTATGATTTTCATTTGCTGGAAGAAATATGATGTTTTTTGTGTCTTTTTTAAATTTTCTTCCTGTAACAAATTAAATTTACTTTAATTAATAAAATTTTAAAGTTGATTAATATTTGTTTTTATTTACCTGGAGATGGGAGTCCATTTATATTAGAGTAATTTAATATAAATTTAATAACCTGCAAAACTCCATCAAATGATATTGCTCTATTACTTGCTTTTCCTGTTAATGGACTTGTTCTCAACTGTATATCAAAATTATCAAAATGACTTCTAATATCTTTCCATCTTGTAGTGCCTATACCATAGATACCCAAAAATGCAGTTTTGCAAATTTCTATACCATCGAAAAAAATAAAGATTTGCAAATTTCATTCTTTTCTCTTTTTTAGCAGTTGTTTCACTTCTCAAACTGGCAGAAAGAATACCTTTCAAAAAAAAATCCTGTTCAGTTTTCCTTAAATCAAGAAAGCATTTATATCTAGTTTTAACATTATTAAAGTTCAACCTCTTTTTCAAGCATTCTTTTTGGCAACAAATTTTTTCTAGTAAATTTTCTATATAATAGTTTATATCATTGTCTATTTCCATTTGTTCTTCAGAATCAATGATTTGGTCATCTATTATTTTGTTTTTATTATAAATATTTTTAAATTTATCTATTTGTTCTTTAGACAATGTTTCTGTTTCATTATCACTTTCTTCTATTTTATCATGGCTTTCTTCTATTTCATCATGGCTTACTTCTTCTTTGTCAACTATTTTTTTCATTTTTATTAATGATTAAATTAGACATATAACTTATTCTCAAATTAGCAAAAGATTCTTCTAAGTCAAGTAAATCAGGATGTGTTTCAGAAAAAACATTGTCAAAAAATAAATGTGTAGAGGACATTTTTTAAATACCAGATTCAATTATTTGTGTTGTGAAAAAGTATTTGGTTATAAGTTTTTTCAAAAAAAATCAAATAAAGAAAATAAATAAATAAATCATGTAACATTAATTAATTTTGTGACCATAATAATAATAAATAATTTTGGTCACTATAATTCTGAATATAGTAATAATTATTATGTAATTATCCAACTATATGCATTAAATTTCATGAAAATAAAACAATTAAATTTTATAAATAGTGTAAAATCAGAAGTGAAAATTTATTTGATAAATTTGTGTTACATGATTTGACCCTAATTTCCAGTATTATGTTTATCATTTCTTGTTTTAGTATATAACCCGATTTTTTGGTCCTTATATGTCTTTCAGTTTTCTTTAGATATCTCAAAATTTTATTAAGTAAAGTGGGTATGGTTTTTAAGCTAGAATTAATTGTTGTAAAAAATTACATATAGAAACATCATTAACTCAAAATCATGATTTTTGACGTTGGGTGCGTTTCTATTGTTCATGCCCCATATGCAACAGGAGAGACCGTCCTATATAAGGAATGGATTTTCACAATTGATTTCAATTTTTTTTATACAGTTTAAAATACTTTTACAAGGGTATCATGTAGCCCATTCTTGCAATAAATCATGTGTAAATAATTACACAAACTTGAAGCTTTACACTTTGTTGTTATCATATCTTTTGAATCCCTTTGAATCCCACAACTTTCATAATACGATTTACTCGAAGAAAAATTGCCTGAAATTAAACATTGCACAGAATGTAAAGCCACTGAATTAGCTAAATTTCATCAACAAAAGGCAATAAATGGAAAGAAGCTGAGAACAACAACTTAGTGAAAGTAACGTGTTATTTTATGTAACATTTGTTATATGAATTTTGTAGAAAATCTTTTAAAAAGAGACCTAGGAGAACAAAAACCACAGATGCGGAAGAGGAAGGGGAAGAGGAAGAGGAAGAGGTAAGTGAAAATATTGGTTTCACTAGAGCCATCAAGGTCCTATATACGATTTTGACAAAATACAAAGATTGCTCCAAGAAATAGAACCAAGCTTGAAGGGGTTTTTTGACCAACTCTATTTAGCAGCTCGGCCATTTGAACGTAATGGACCATATGAAGAGATTAATGGTGGTGTTCATGTGTTACCTTCTTGCTTTAAATAATACAAAAATTAACTTTTTTAAGTTCGATCTTGTATTCTATTTAGATTCGGTAGATACAAGTCTTGGAGTAACTACAACATCAAGAGCAGTAGATCGTAAAAAGAAGCAAGTTGCAGATGAACATTGAAAAATATGTAAAGAATGCACTTACAAAATATTCAAAAATACATCCTTGTTGAATATTGACAATTATCATAAATTCACGTCCAGAGACAATCAGTATCCTTTAATTACTAAAACTTTGTTACTTCTAGGAAACAATCTACAAACATTTTTTGCAATTATGTATAATGTGATTACACTAATTATACTAATTTGAATAATTTATCACAATCATTGTTTACAAAGGTGTCAATCTAAATGTTTGATATCTTGGATTATCTTCAAGTCGAAATCAAAAAAAATGTCAACACTAAGGATACTGGCTGCAACTTTTGATGATGGTTGCTACCATCTTTGCGTCATATGAAAATGATTGCAACCACCTTTACAATCATTTTGTTTCCTTTTTTGGATTGCGACATGGAACACTAGTCAACACATTAAAAGAAAGTATGATGAAAAATATTAAATGAAAATTAATTTACCGAAAATAATGCAAATACAGTTGATGATGGATCTGGGTAATGTTGAATCAGCAACAGATGACAACAACAATGGAAATTTTATTAGAACATGCAAAAAAATTTTTGGGATTGTAAATTTTGTTTTTATTAAATAAATTTGTTTGATCTTTCATACATTGTTCATTTTTCATCACAATCATATATCTTAAATTTGTTGTGTTTACAATCATTCATTGACATTCATTATATTAAGGTTATTTTGATTATATCGAGAGATATGGTCAAGAGAAAAGTTAGGAAGAGAGTTATTCTTTGACCAAGTCAAAAACCAACCCTTTAAATACATTTTCGAGTAGTACAATTTAATTTATTAGACTATTTCAATGGCTTGTCGCATGGCTGCTTTCAACTTCTTAAATTCGTTAATGAAACAATTGTTGGTGAAATGATTGTTGACAAAATGAATCAAACCCATATTTATTTCTACATTATCAAATTCGCGATTTTAATTGCTCAATCAACAAATTGCATGGGTTAAAATTTGTATTCCTTCCTGTTGATTTTTGTGTTCCCAGAACGGTCTCTCCTGTTCCCATATGCTAGATTTATATGTATATCAAGTTTAACAGGTTTAAATTTTTTTTCAGTCAGGGATTTTACCAAATTTGGAAATCGATTTCCATTGTCAATTCAAATGAATTATTGTGATACTTCCAAATCAATCAATGTTGGGTGTTATATTCACTCTAAGCATGTCTATTTATCATTAGGAAGATAAAATGAAAGCTTTTAAGGGAGTTGATCAAGTTTTTCGTAAAATTCACATTACAACTGAAGATCTTTGTAATAATAATGATAA